ACGAGCACGGTAGGCTCGGGGGGGGGCTGTCCCTCTTCCCCCCCCGCGTCCTACACCCCCCCCACCCCCCCCCCCATTCCGCCATGACATTCATTGCCTCGACGCCATCCGAACACGAGCATGCCTATCTCGCGTCTCTGAGCGCGCCCGCACCCGCGTCGTCGGCCCTCACGCCTGCAGTGCACCTGGGCTCGGAGCTGCACGAGTTCTTCCGCCTGTGCGCGCTGCCATGGGTGTCAGACTTCCTGTTCAACGAGGAGATGGACTCGCTCCCGGTCCTGACCGCGCCGGCGAACATGCGCAGCGCCATCTCGTGCACCATCCAGATGACCAACGTGGAGGCCCCGTCGCCCGGCGACAACCTGTTCGACACCCACCTCTCCGGCGTCGCCCTCTTCGTCCCCGCCTTCTCCATCGCGTCCATCAGCGTCGGCTTCGGCGTCCAGGAGTGCCACCTGCAATCCTTCTCTGACTGGGGCACCCGCTCCGGCCTCTTCGACGAGCCCGACCTCATGCACCTGCGCTACGTGCGCGACGACGCCACCGGCGCCCTCATCATCGCCTACAAGGATCCGCACACAAACCTCTTCAAAGTCGAGTCCATGGTCCAGGCCTCCACCACCACGCGCCGCCGCGTCTACGCCATCTTCGACCTCGACCACTTCCGCGCCGCCGTCAACGCAGAGTACTGCTCCTTCCGCCCATCCCTCGTCGCGAACGCCCTCAAGTTTCTCTGCTCCTCCGTCGAGACGAGACACTGCCCCAAGTGCGCCGCCCCGCCGTCCGCCGCCTGCCACTGCCCGCTGGGGCTTAAGCTCCCCAGCCACTCCCTGGATTTCTCCACCGTCGCCAATAACATGGTCTCGTTTACTGGCGCATTCGAGGGCGTCACCAGAAGCGCTGTCTTCAACGACGGCATCGAGCTCCAGGCCGCCAACTTGGGGTGTGTCATTAATATCGACGGATGCATCGGTAACGATTTGATCGACCGCTTGAGTCGCTGGGCCATCTCCGACCAACTCACGGACAAGAAGGGGTGCCCCACCGCCCTCATCATGCCACCGTCTGGCACAGATGACGCGGAAACCACTGCCGATATGGTCATCGATACCGACAATCTTGCCCAGGTGTCGGCTGCACTCTCATATGTCGCTCCTCCTCCCCCTCCCCCCGCCGTCGACTTATTCGCAAAGGGCACCAGCAGCTGCTCGTCCGGGTCAGGCATGCTCATCACAGAGAGCCTGGACGACCCGCCACCGCTGCTTGTACCGGAGCGGGCCCCGCCCACCGCCTCCCAGATCTTCGAGACCGCCGCGCAAGCGCCACCACCGACCGCTCATGGCACCTTGGACTTCGTCGACGAAATCACAGGCCAGGCGCAAGTATCGGACAGCTTCTTCAACCCGTCGGAGCCCTCCACCCCAGCGGAGGAGTCTATGTCGAGCGGCAGCGCGGGTATGTCGGTCATAGCCCCGTCGGCGGCGATTTTCGACACGCAGCCTGTTGTCATCGGCGCGACGTTGCGAAACAAGGCGATAGCACCGTCGGCGCCAGTGCAAGTGAGCAAGGAGACGATGCAGAGCGAAAAGGAATTGCGGGCGCAGTTGAGAAAACAGAGAAATAGAGAGGCTGCTCAGCGCAGCAACATGAAACGCAAGTTTAAAAACGATACGCTGAAACAGGCGTTAAGGGACGTGCATTCGAGGGCGGCACAACTGAGGGCCAGGGAACTGCAACTGCGGGAAGAGAACCTCGAGCTGAGAAAGTTGATGTCGCCATAAGTTGTATTTGCGTTTGTAATTTCTCTTGTACATAGGAAGAAGCGATTAAGTATGGTACATTTGTAAAGCTCTCTAACGGACATCGCCTCGCCTCGATGCAACATGAAAATTCGTTGCTTTTCTTCCATTGGGCTTTGCAAATTCTATGGGAGCCGCTGTGTGAGTGTGGACACTCACTCAGTCCTCCGGTCTGGGTCGTCGCGGATTGGACACGGGGCGTCACGTACTGTAGGCATGGCGCAGCGTCAGGCAGACCAGGGAACCAAGAGAGAGGAAGCGCGAGAGGGCAACTGCATGTGGAAGCCGCTTCTGGAACGATGTGCTCGTTAACCTGTGGTTTGAAGTCGTCCTCAGCATGCGCGAGGGCATATCCGGGATGTAGCAATTGGCACGACGAGAGAGAGAGAGAGAAAGGGCTTTGGCGGCAACTCGGCTAACGCATCTATCACGGGTCGAAGCCACGTGCTCATCTGGCGGTAGGGTGCAGATACAGAGAGTGGAAGGTGGAAGGGTAAATGTACTCTGATGCCGAAGGGCCAGCGCGAATCCCTTGTGCAGTAGGCGTACGGGGGGCCAGTGGAGGATCTCCGTCGTCACGCGCATCTACATGTTTCTAATTGTGAAGGGTTGGTCGGGTGAGCAAGGGGGAGAGACGAGCGTGTGGCGTGCAGAAAGCGGGAGAGACGAGCGCGCAGCGCCATCCAGACGAATGAAAAGTCAGAATAGTGTTTATTGTATAGACTCTGTGTCGCCAAAGGCGGTAGAGGAGACTTGGTGAGCCTTTCTCATCGTCATCAAAAAAAGGAAAATACTTCCTCAAAGCAGTGCCTCGGCCCTTGCTGTCGATCGACGTCAGAGGGCCGCAGCCGCAACTGCGGTGGTGAGTGTGTTTGGTTTTTTTTTTTTTTTTCTCTTTCCGTTTGTTGGTCGGCGATGCAGCAACCGCGGCAATCTATCAAGTGTAGGTACGGCGACACGCTGCGTTGGCAAGGGGTAAGGCCCTGACGTGGGTGGGAGGTCGAATTTGAAGATGTGTGAGTGATTGCAAGGGCATTTATCACAGGTGTTAGTCTTGTTTAACAGAACGAGCGAGTGAAGGGAACCCGAGAGTGTGGTACAGTAATCAGAGGATCATACAACAGGGTAGGTTGCCTGGCGTCTAGAAGGCACGGGAGAAATTAGAGAGTGACGTGCGCTGGATGGCAGTGGCTGAACCCTAAAGCGCCTTGGCGTATACCATGCGGCGCTGGGGGGGCTATCTCGCAATGATAACGGGGGGAGTGATCAGGGTGAGATTAGGGGGAGAAAGGGGAGGGCGGGGGTTCATTGTGCTCCGGACGGCAGCAAGAGCTGCCAGCCTTCCGTCTGGAAACGTTGATGTATCTAGAGGATCAAAAGTGACCAATGAAAACGCGGAAGATGTTCGTGGCGATAGTTGTTCCGTATGCATTAATTTTCCATTATTTTAAAAGGGCCAGCTGAGGCCAGAAAGAGGACGAAAGCGAGAAGCTGAAGGCTCCGTTCAGTACGGTACAGCGAGACAAGGCTGCCTCGAAAGTGATGCGTTCGCATCTACAGCCGACTTGCATTGCTGTTTGCAAATTTCTTGCGAAATTTAGGGGCTTGCTCATCAGTTTCACTGCTGGATACCTTCCCTGTTGTGCCGTTTTCGCGTCACTGCTGGATTTGTCGCCAGCAGCGCCGGGTCGTAGGCTGTCCGGCTAGAGCACACACTACATATGCGTTCGTACCCCCATTTCCATATTAAAAAACGGGCCAACGCTCCGTGTCACGAGACCGTGACAGACACAAGACATCCCACTCCCTTGCGCAGCTGCAACACTGGCATCCATCCCGTTCTCCAATGTGCCATAAGTCGGACTAGCTCAATGATGTCCGCGGACCACACTCAATGGCCGCCATGGCATGCGCAATGCCCGCATGTCACAGAGACAAAACTCCCATTTCTTGCTATTTGTATCCCCGGGGACGCAATCTTTACCCATCTCCCTCCCCCCCCCTACCCCCGCTTCATCTTTCTCCTCACAACCTCACTTTAAACTACCAATTTCATCCACCTCCCGCTCTCGGCCTATTAAACCCAGACTGTTCGCCATCTTCCTCTCTACCACCTTCTCCGAGTCCACCACATTGCTTCTCTTCAACCCCAGCCCCACGCCCCCCACCATATCAGAGTCCACACAACCACAAAGCCCATCTGCATCGATCAAAGCTCGCGGTCAATACCCTCCGCCCCATTCAATGAACCAATGTCTTCGCTCCTCACTATCAACAACCAATTGCAAGCCCTATTAGCCCCGATCCCCCCCTCAGTCCCCAAGCATGTCGCCGCCTGTCCCGTCGCCTTCCCGATGCTGCGCCACATGCTCAAGCTGTTCCGTGAGCAGTGGATCTGCGACTTTCTCTTCACCTCCGACCCAGTCCACCTCAACGCCCTAACCTCGCCGCTGCTGGTGGCCAACGCGCTCACGTGCAACGCCTCCATTACGCGCTTCGACCCGCGCGACCCCGGCTCCCAGTACCAGTATCTCGACGCCTCTTTCGTCTTCATCCCCGCCTTCTCTGTCGGCCAC